CGAAACAAGTGTCGGTTTCTCATAAAGTCGATCCTGACAGCTCGCCTGCGCGGCGTTGAGTCAGAGCCTGTGCCAACAGAGGGCGCTCGGGTATGCTCAAGCAGAGCAACGAAAAGAGCCCCATGATAGTGTGCTATGATTATAGGTAAATGTGAGGATGCTGAACGCTCCGATGGATGGAAATGTAATAATTATGAAGGATAATGGAATATATGGTTCAATAAATGCCTAGACGTCTCGGCCCGGGGCACAGTGGTTTCGAAGTAAGTCGTCTGCTAGTCAGCGACAGCACGAAGACGACAGAAGTCACCGAGGATCCGCGCGGTATCGCGGGCCCGGGAAGGATTCTCCAAAAATACTGAAACAGCTGTGACCTGGGACGGGAGACTACGGTCGGTGAAGACCAATCGACTGTTTTCACTGCCTGGGGAGCGAGCGATTTCTATTAGTGGTGTCAGAACAAAGGAAACGAATCCTCGTGCAGCCAAGGGCAAGGTCGTCAAGTGTGCAACCGGCGAGTGACCGATCAGCCCAGGGATGGAGAACGACGATCAGGAGGACGTGACTACGCAAGCGGTCGACATCGCCAATCAAAATCCGTCCAACACGAAGGTGAAGAAGAACAATAGTTATCAGCCCGAACACGAATCATTCGATATCGATCCGGATGATCAAGCGGATTTCGACGAGGCCTGGGTCGACTTGAAGGCATACCGCAATGCTTTCGCAAAAGCGTGTAAAAAGCTCAGAACGGTTCTCGAAGCGAATCCGGAAGGTGAGCGGCTACACGAGCTGAAGGTGGGTCTAAGCGATTTGGAAGAACTATGGGAGCGGATAAAGGAGTCAAGCAAATCAATGTACCGGTCCCCGTGCGCGGACGACGATTTCAAACGAAGAGAACGGCAATATCGAGTCGATACGGAGGAATCGTTCAGGGACATCGCGTTCGAGCTTAAAGTTTCGATAAGCCGATTAACACACGACGACGCGGAAATCGAGAAGTCCCGTCGCCTAGAAAACTTGGACCCAAGAAATCCGCTCAACTCCACCATGGCCGCCGCTACGGCTTGTCCATTGAAATATGGTTGCAAGGACATCATTCAGAGGATTCCGAAATTCGACGGCGATCCGACGAAATTCCAACGATGGAATGACGCATTCGAGCTCCACGTGGGAAGGAAAAGTTGGGACGACTTGGAAAAGTTCGAGTTCCTGATCAAGACCACCGGAGGACGCGCGTGGCAGGCAATCTCAGGCATTCGTGTCTGCGCAGCAAACTATACCAATGCGTTACAGACGATCCACAACCGCTTCGGGAATCCGGACATGGCTGAAGACCAACATGCACAAAACATCTTCAACGCCTGTCATCGGAGGGAATTACACCAGAACGATAAGTTCATTGCCTTTGCGGCTTACGTGGTCCAGAATATAGAATCGATGGTAGCTTTAGGAAGCTCTTTAGAGGGCCTATCTGCAGGCCTCAGTAGTCCATTACTGAAGGCATTACCGGGTGATCAACTCCGCAGGTTCGATGGCGAGTATCAGAGAAAGAAAGACTCGACGTGTAAACTCAAGGTGCTCGTAGATTTTCTGAAAGAGGAGTCCGGCACCCTAGAAAGGATGGGCGTGATCAAGGCTAATTATGCGTTCGAATCCCTCGATAGGAACAAGTCGAGACTTTCTAATTACGCAGACCCCGGACACGGCTCGAGGTTCAGGCCGAATTACGGGAAGTTCAGAGGTACGAGGAGTGAGCACGCATTTGCGGCTACTTTCTCGGAAGTTGATCACTCGTGCATATTTTGTTCAGCGGAACACCCCAGTACGAAGTGCAAGGCAGAGATGACGATTGAGGAGAGAAGAAAGGCGATTGTTACCCACAGGGCGTGCTACAAGTGTCTCGGGAGAAACCATAGCGTCGATAAGTGCAGAATAAAGGAAAACTGCTCGAAATGCGGTAATCGACATCACGCCTTGATCTGTTACAAGGACAAGCCTAAAAGAAACTCCACGGCAGCGGCTGTCACGACTTCTCACGGGGTAGCCACTTCCGATGCGGCGGTTTGTGGTGCGATAGGTGCGTCCTCGATTCAAGAGAAGAGTCTGCCGACGGGTTATGTCGAAGCTCTGTCAAACGGTCAGAAACTAGTGTGTCGCGTTATGTTAGACACGGGGTCGCAGAAAACATTCATCACGAGAAGCTTTGCGGATAAACTAGGGACGACGGCGATGAAGAAGGATGAGTTCTATCTGCAGTCGGCGGGCTACGCGTCGGCGAAAAAATGCGTGGGAGATATCGTGGAAATTGAGCTCAAGAGTCGGTTCTCGAATAATACAGCGAAGATTCGGGCGACAGCCTTGTCATGCGTTATTACCGGAAAACTTCCAAATTTGAACTACGTCGGAAATTGAAACCGATCGCCGACAGGAACGACGGAAACTGGGGGACTGAGGTCGATATTCTGATCGGCGTCGACTTTCTACCTGAAATCGTGGGGACAGTCTTGAAAAGATCGAACGGGCTGATAGCATTTGATACGATTTTCGGTTACTTTCTCTGCGGGGGTGGCGACGGAAGGCGGCTGGAACTCGACCAGTCCCTTTCGGCGGTTATCATGGGTAATCGAGAGAAGTGGGTCGCTGGGACGCATCGGAGGGTAACTTCTTTGTCCACAGTCACCAAGAGATACGAAGGTGACGACATCAGTTTTCTTTGGGAGACGGAGACTATGGGAATCGAACCGTACTTCCGAGAGAGTGATGAGGCTGAGACCCGAGAGTTGGATAGGTTTTTCAGGGAAACGATCAAACGATTACCGTCAGGCCGGTACCAAATCTCGTTACCATTCAAGCCAACGAAGGAGTCGCTGGGTACGAATCGGAAATTGACCGAGAACAGGCTTAGAGGGTTTCTGACGAAGGTTCGAAAAGACAAAGCATTGTTGACCGCAATCGATAAGGAGATCGAGGGGCTGGTGTCTCAGGGGTTCGTGGAGCCGGCGAAGCCTCCGGCCCCGGGTCAACCCGCTCATTACTTGCCGTTATTAGCGGTCAAAAAAACGGGATCGACGGCGGAGAATATTAAGATCAGGCTGGTAAACGACGCAGGCGCAAGATCGCGGGATGAAGCAGGACTCAACGACGTTCTGCACCAAGGCGACAACTTGGTGGCAGATATATCTCGGGTTCTGTTGAAATTCAGGCAACTACCAGTTGTCATTTGCGCGGATATCGAAAAAGCATATTTGCAGTACGAAGTGAATCCGGAGCATCGGACCTTTCTCAGATTTCTTTGGCCTGCGGGCATCAGTAGAGACGGGAGAGCACCGATACAAGAGTTTCAATCTTGTCGGTTGTCGTTTGGCTTGGTCTCCGCCCCGTGGTTACACTGCGCTGGTATCCGGTATCACCTCGAAAACGAGATCGAGAAAAACCCGCAACACAGAAAACTGCTCGAGTTCGTGAAACAGAACTTTTATATTGACGATATAATCGCCCCAGCCGAGGACGTTGAAGAGGCAAAGGGAGTGGTGAAAACACTGGTCGATGTGTTCAAAGCCGGTTGTTTCCCATTAAAGAAATTCGCGACAGGGGCGGCGGACTTGGGGGAATTCGTGAGGGAGAAATACCCAGAGGCGACGGTTTCGTACGAGGAGCGGAATTTCAAGTTTTTGGGGATCCGGTGGGATCAAACTCAGGATACGCTACACCTCGACGTCTCGGGATCGATTTCGTGTCTCGAGACGAATATGCCGTCGAAACGAACGCTGTTGAAGGCCGTCGCTATGATATTCGACCCACTCGGATTTGCCAGTCCGATTTCTTTGGCTTTCAAGATGCAGTTACAAAGGCTCTGGATTCAAAAAGTCGATTGGGATACCCCACTCTAAGGCGCGGATTTGGAGACGTTCAGAGAGAATATGAGCAAACTGAAAAACGTCGAATTCTTATCAACGCCGAGAAATTTCGGCTTGTCGAGAAAACATCTGGCCACGGCCGAAATCGAACTTCACGTGTACTGCGACGCGAGCCTCAGGGGCTACGGCTGTGTGGCATATTGCAGGAAAATCTTCGACGGTAGCCAGGTCGAGGTATCGTTCGTCATGGCGAAAGGAAGAGTAGCTCCCTTGAAAGGAGACTATTCTATCCACCGTCTTGAGTTATTGGGGGCGATAATAGCAATCAGGACGGCGAATAAAATATGCCAGGCGGCAGAAAGAGAGTTTTCGTCAGTAACCTATTGGTGTGACAACGCGTGTGTACTGGCCTGGATACGAGACGATCCCAGCAGATGGAAGCAATTTATCAGCAACCGCGTTACGGAGATTCAGAACAGCTCAAAAGCAAGGCAATGGAGGTACATTCGCACGGCGGAAAACCCAGCAGATTTAGTCAGTAGAGCCGACTCGCTGGACTCGCTGGAGAAACGAGAATTCTGGTTACTCGGTCCAAAATGGTTAAGGTCTGCGAACGACCCCAAGGAACACAGTTTGAATGCGGAGAGCGTCCAGCAAGACGTCAGCAACGAGCGAAGGGCCCAATGCGTCGTCGGAGCGGTAGTTAACCCAAGAGATAGAGATTCGATCGGCTTGAGACAAATTTCGTCGTGGGAGAAGGCAGTACGTATATTAGCTTACGCTCGCCGTTGGCTGACGTACAAAAGGAAAAGAATTACTAGGCAAGATAAAGGTAGGGAGGTGCCTGTCATCACCTCTACGGAGTATGCAGAGGCCGAAAAGTCTATTCTAAAAGGGATACAGCTCCGCAACTTCTCGGCGGAATTGACCACAAATTTGAAGAACGTAGACAAGAGCAGCCAAATTTACCAGTTCAATCCAATCCTAGATTCGGATGGGTTGATCAGATGTGAATCGCGTCTCATAAATTCGGAAGAGGTGGTGTTCGACGTAGCCCGGCCAATCATACTTCCAGGCGAGGACGAGATGGTCAGGCTTTACCTGACGTGGCTCCACGAAAAGATATGCCTGCACGCAGGAGGCGTCGCAGGAATGATTCAAAGAGCAAGACGGAGGTTCTTGATCTTGAGAGTCAGAAGGGCGGCGGCCAAAGTCATGCACGAGTGCAGAGTTTGCATTAAATACAGGGCTAAGCCGGGAGAAGAGATAATGCCACCACTCCCGAAGTTCAGGATCGACAGAGCCCCACCGTTTGCAGTGACGGGGGTAGACGCTGCGGGACCCTTCACGGTGAAAGATGACGCGGGCAAATATCAGAAGGCCTGGGTGATGCTTTTCGCCTGCCCACTGACTCGCGCAATTAGACTCGAACTTGTGAGGAATCTCTCGACGCTGGAATTCTTGCTAGCGTTTCGCAGGTTCTACAACAGAAACGCCACAGTCACACAAATGATTTCGGATAACGCAGCGGCGTTCCGGCGTTCGGCTCGCGAGATGAACTACTTGCTGGGGGTCAGGAACACGGAGGAAGTCCAGCAGTTCATGTCGAGACATCAGATTACGTGGACCTTTAATGTAGCGCGCGCGCCATGGAGGGTTTCATTCTATGAGAGGATGTTTCGAATGCTAAAGGAACCTCTGCGTCGGGTGATGGCTAGGAATATCCTGCCAGCCTTCGAGTTCATGACCTTGTTGACAGATTTCGAGAAAATAATCAATGATAGACCACTGACAGCGGTGAGCACGGATCCGAACGAACCGTTACCTCTGAAACCATCAGACTTGTTGGGGGGTTATCAGAATTTTCCGGGGTTACCGGATGCTGAGGAAGTGGCGAACGCCCTTAAAGGCATGGACCCGGCGATTTTCAGTCAAAGGTGGAAGGCTCAGCAGTCAATACTGAACTCTTTCTGGAATCGGTTCAAAAGAGAGTATCTGCAGCAGTTGCGATCAGCTCATGCAGCAAAACCAGTCAAAAGCAGGAATATCAAGGAAGGCGATGTGGTATTGGTGGACGATCCGGCGGCCAGCCGCGGATACTGGCCTATGGCCGTCGTAACCGAAGTTTCCGGCGGGGAGAGCTCGGATGGTCGTCGAAGAACATGTACCGTTCGACTCGCATCCGGAGGCAACGGCAGAACGATTCTTGTAAAGCGTCCGATACAACTGCTCTACCCGATCCACGTCTCCCAGGACTGAGGACGACATTCGAATGGGATCGATCTCATGTCAGAGAGTATGTGATCGGAGCCGCATGATGAGAGATTATTCAGTTTCGAGCGTAAAGCACAGGAGTAAAATTCGGGGCGAGAGGATGTGCCATTGCAATCCGAGACACTGGTAGCACGCGCGTGGAAGACTACGTAGAATTCTATTCGTCGTAACCAAGTCCGTGTGAGGGACACCGGGATCTCGACAGACACGTCAACCGGTTCAGGGGACGATCCGATCTCAGCCTACCATTGCGAGCTCGATATCATTGTGCCCGAAATGAAGCTCAGATGAGCTTCCGGCGGGAGTATAACGAAACAAGTGTCGGTTTCTCATAAAGTCGATCCTGACAGCTCGCCTGCGCGGCGTTGAGTCAGAGCCTGTGCCAACAGAGGGCGCTCGGGTATGCTCAAGCAGAGCAACGAAAAGAGCCCCATGATAGTGTGCTATGATTATAGGTAAATGTGAGGATGCTGAACGCTCCGATGGATGGAAATGTAATAATTATGAAGGATAATGGAATATATGGTTCAATAAATGCCTAGACGTCTCGGCCCGGGGCACAGTGGTTTCGAAGTAAGTCGTCTGCTAGTCAGCGACAACACGAAGACGACAGAAGTCACCGAGGAGGATGTAAGCCATGTCGTAGGATTCGGTATGGGTAGTCGAAGATAGCAGACGAATTCGACGGAGAGAAAACAGACCGAGCATGGCTGCTTCGGATATGCAGGGCGAGGCGCGCAAATTTGAATGCCGACGGCACTGAATGAGCTCGTGAGCTGACTGACTGAGTGTGAGAGAGAGCTGAAGGCTGAATTACTGATATTAACCTTCATCTTGTAATAAATACAGCGGAAATATCACGCGAAAAGGGTATATCAGGGTGTTCAATAACTTGTAGACGATCATGGGAACGGAGGTTCCTGGAAACTCTCCGCTCAGCGAGCGTCGAAAATCCCTAATTATGCGGAATTTCGGTCACGGACCCTCTTCTGTTCTGTAGACTCACACCCAGCGAGCTTCCTTATTCATAATCACCCGCTCCGAGGAGCGAGGCTCGATCCGTCGAGTTCCACCTTGCGCTCACAAAAAAAGGTCCGAAACCCGTATTTCCTCCGCCAGTCCCGGCGCTCGTCGGTATCATTCGGTACGTATACCGGTTGTGAACCGTGTAGGCGCATCCCCACGCGTAATCCCCCGAGCCCATGCCTCTCATGTCCTTAAAAAAAAACAATTCCTGGAGCTGCGCAATCAGCCCAAGGACCTCCGAGATACTGGCGGGTAGATGCGGGCCCTGAACAATCACGTCGGATATACCTGAAGATTCTCGGTACAGCTACCAAGCACCTCATATTTCTGGTACTTCGTGCCGCATAGGGACTGAGAGAAGATTCCGGATTCGTAAGGAGTCCGGGTATCCATCAAGACTACCGTTGCCCGTGTTCTGAACGACGCGCGATGGCCGGAGTTGGCTTCTCCTGTCGGAGCACCGCAAGGCCCGTCATGGATATCGCAATCCCCTCACTCCTCCTGAAGAAGAGCGGAACAAACACCGTTAATGTCATTTCCGATCATGGAATCACTGACATTTTTCCTCACCCCAGAGTACAGCTCCCGCAGCTAGAGTACCGACCGTATGCTGGTATCTCACTCAGAGCAAGAGGATCGGTGGGAAGTCCTCAACGGATGAGGACGTTAAGATTACCTATGTAAGTTTTCAAAGTTCGCACACCTCCTCCTCCTCAAACACTTGTATCGAGTATGTACTTGTGTTTTTTTAGCGCTCGAAGAAGAAGAATCGAGCATTACTTCCAAGTTCCGTCGCAAAGAGTCCTAACTCCTGACTCATTCTTCCGCTGAATGATATGGAGGGCTCTCCTGTCTTTCTCAGACAAGTACAGGGTGTGAACCATAAGAGGACAATATGGTGCGACCCAAATGGTCATTTCGATTCTGGAAGTCAGAGCGGTGTTGCAGATTTCTTTTTTCATAAAGAGAGCACAACGCGAGAAGGCGACCTAATAATACGATGCAAGAACTGGCAAAAATCGTGAGTGCTTCCATGTAGGATCTCCAATATGATACTCAGCCTTGCAGAGAAGGAGTCTTGCGTCGAATTCCGGCGGACGCATCTGCAATCAATTCGATTCATAGCTCATGCTCGCTCTCCCACCTTCCTCGATCATGACCCTGAAATGATACGTACATCGGAGATGTCGCTCGTTGCGAAAGCTGTGTCACATCGCACCATGGATTCACATGCGTGAACCGTGATTCAATTTTCGTAAGCACATATGTGCGAGAAGTGGGTGTTGATGCGGCTCGGGAGCGAAGCTTGAATAAGCGAGCTTCAGTTAGTAGAAGCTCGGAGCCCTCTTGTGCGGTCAGGGATGAAGTTACTTGAGGGAGGGAAGACTTGAAAGTTGAAGGTAGTATCTAGATATAAGTGAAGCAGATCCTTGCAAGTGCGCGTCAATCTTTTCCATGTATCCTCAGGGGCTGTCCGGTGCGAGGGAAAATCAAGCGGGATGGGGAGGTGCTCAGAAATAACGGCTGCTCTCACAACCATTTGCCCGAATTCGGTGGACACGGTTATTCCGTTCTCTCCACGAGGGCGAATTGGCTGAGGAACATGAAGGAGAATACTCGTCTGAGACCCATGAATGCGATACTGGCGGACCGTCGCAGGTATGAATGAGCCTTAGAGATCGGGGGCGGGAATCACGATAGCTTCCTCGTCTTAGAAAATAAGGGCGGAGAACTCTCCGGAATCATAGGATAATTTTTCTCCAGACTCACCCCTCCGGAAGCGAGCGAGATTGTTCCTATCCGGCACATTCGGACGGCGCGCAGGGTTTCCGCCTCAGCGAGGCCGCCACCGGTAAAAAACCTGGATGAGCTGCATAGGGCCATAAGCGACTCGGTTTTCCCAGGCTTCAACTGCACTTCCGACGGCGACAGATTTGTGAGCGTAAGATGCAGCGACTTTGATAGTCTGTTGGTCTTCACGAGACGTCTGATGGCCCCCCTCCCGACGGCATCAGTGCTCCACGCGGACGCGACCTATAAGGTCGTTCCGCGGGGCCTATGCCGCCAGCTTTTCACCCTCCATGGTGATTGGGGGGATGATGGCTTCGTAAGTACCTATATCCGGACTCCATTTCTTTCCTGATAATTGTTCTCTATCAGAGTGGGAGCGAATACCCTCGGTTTCATCCTTCAGGTGGGCCTGGTAGCATTCGCATTTATGAATGCAGCCACCACGGAGGCATATGCTGAAGTATTGCGAGCACTGAAGCGAGAGCTCCCGGAACTTGCGTTGCCAGCGTTCATGGGCGATTTTGACGGAGCGATGCGAGCCGCAGTGCAGGCAGAGTTCCCCGCCGCTCGCATCTACGGATGCTTATTCCACTATGCTCAGAGCCTAGTGAAGCGGGGCTCCTCTCCGGCTGTCGGTCTCGCTCGTGAAATCAAACGCCCTGGACCGGTGCGCGCAAGTTTTCTTGCTTTCACTGTGCTCCCTTACCTACCGCCGGGACAAATCGATTCTACCTTCGAACATTGCGCTCGCGAAGCTGTCGCGATCGACTCCCGAGTGCGTGAGCCCGCCGAGTTCTTCTGGACGATATATCCTCGAAATCTCCCATATACTCGTATGTTGAAATTGATTTTTCAGTTTCAACCTCTCGTGGATTACGTTCGCCATCAGTGGCTCCAGCGTATCGGGGCGGCTCGCCTCTCGCTCTATAGAGCTCCTGTTCACACGAACAATGCAGTCGAAAGCAACAACTCTCTGCTCAAGAGGGAACTTGGAGCGAATCCACGAGTATGGGATCTGATGCGTGCGTATCCTCTTTTCGGCAGTCTCTCTCATTCAGTTGCGTGCTCAGGGAGGGAGGGGCGAGGGGGCCATGGCCTTCTCCAATGACCTCCCGTCGAAATGTCAAAGTATAGAACGGAGAGAGGCGCGTCATATTTTGGCCCCGTCTCCGCAGGCAGAACTGCGTCTCGCCCCCTCCTCCCCTCCCGACAGAGGATTCTGGGCACGCCCTTGGTCTACCTGGGTTTTCTTTCACCGGGCTGATGTGAAGGTAAGTCGACAGCGGTTCTCATTCCCAGACGTTTTATGCGGAATGGCACAAGACGTGCCGATCGATCTAAGCATAAGCGAGCGGGGCATCCAAGACATTCGATCAGCGCCGAACCGCCGAACTCGGCTTCACGCGCAGAAGCTTCGCCTTTTGTGGGCTGAGCTTGATGCGGGGAGGATTTCGCCGATCCAATTCATCGAGCAGATAAAGTACAGGCCGAAACGTGGTGAGACTTCCGCCGCCTTATTCCACCTGCACTGATATCATTCTGACCCAAAAACGTACGCTTCGCTGTAATCTTCCAGGCGCTGGAGCTGCTCCCGCTCCCGGCAGTTCCCCTGCAGTCGACGCGGTAGACGATGAAGAAAGCGATCAGTGGGTGACGGGTCCGAGCGAGACCCCTGATCCCCGTGTCAGAGTTGACGAGACTCCCCTTTCAGATCACTCTTACAGCCTGATGTCTGCCGACGGTGACCATATGTACAGTGTCCCTCACTCGTCCGGCTCATAAATCGATCAAAATTTGGCGCAACACCGAGATTGCATGAAAAGAGTAGAGGGGAAATGATCCGATGATTCCGAAAAAACTGTAACTCGATCTACCGATATTTAACCATGTTCATTATTTCATCATATCGCGCCCTCGTATATCGAGTTTGCCATTTGTATTTCGAATGAAGAAACTTTCCTCATCCAGGGGTATATCTTTTTTGTTTTAAGGAAGGTAGGAGCGATCCACTCCCGGATGCATTCTTCAAAAGACATCGATTCATGATCAGTTTCTCAACCTTTAGCGTAGCTCATCACCCCCGGCACTAGCTATTTCGCGCGCTTCTACCCGCCGCTAAACTAGCGGGGGCTCATACAGACACCCTCTCCAATGTTCGTCTGCTAGCTGACACTGACTAGCACGAATCCTACGAGATGGCTTACATCCCACCGAGGATCCGCGCGGTATCGCGGGCCCGGGAAGGATTCTCCAAAAATACTGAAACAGCTGTGACCTGGGACGGGAGACTACGGTCGGGGAAGACCAATCGACTGTTTTCACTGCCTGGGGAGCGAGCGATTTCTATTAATCGTTTCCCTTGACAGATCGGAGATGTCTGATGAACGTCTCGGACCAAGTCACTGTTGACATCTACAATCATGGGCACAGCAGATATATACAATTCCGGTGTCCTCTTCATATTTACAAAAGAAAAAGATTTACAAAAGAAAGAATTCCTGGAACGGAGTGTTGGGGATTCCTCTGATGTGTACCATCGCCACGCGCCAATGATTCAAAGCGAACTGTTCCTCTATGGAGAGGGAAACTCGACGGTGGTCTCTGGGGATCGCGCGCCCGAGCGAGTCTTTTCGTTCTTGAGGTCGAGTGGAGACGACGACGTCTGATCTTCCTCATGGCTCAACGTCCCGGTGGAAATCCCTTGGGGTATCGATGGTCCCCTAGGGGGCTCCCCACGGAGGAGGTGCGTGTCGGGACGGAACGTTTTCTCTTTTGATAGCGGATTTTGAATGATAGGATTGAATTCTGGTTTTCCGGTGACAACGGTCTTGCTTTTGTTTAGCTGTTGTTCGAGTATCTCCTCCTCAATCGGTACCCTGCCAGGCAGTTGAACATCATCTCCCGCATCGTCTGGGACACGCTGACCCCTGGGGACCGACGACGATATTGTGAGGCCTCGAAGCGTGCTCAGCGAGGGGGCCCGCGGGCGGTGCCGGGTCAGGTTGGTCTGGTCCGGCACCTTAAATTCTGCGTGCCTCCAAGCTGGTGCGCGGAGAGGTACATATGTGTACTGCGAACGCAGCGGGCCCAGGGCCACGCCATTACCCTCCAGGAGGGGGAAGTCGCCACCATCCTGTGGCTGGGTGTTAGATTCTTTCCGCCCAAAGGTTTCAACTTCACCACTGTGGAGATGTGCCCAGGGCACGAGCACCCGTACGCGCACCCGGGTGGTCGCGAATTTTTTGAGCAGTCGTCCATATATACGCGCGAATGCTATCGCTCCCGTTCCCGCGGGGAATAAATTTTTTGGCGGTTTGAGATGTAGTGATCTGTTACTGGGTTTTGGTTTTTTAGGCTTCCAAGGGGTAGAGTTTTCTAATTGGGCGATTGAGGGTTTGGCCCTTGGCTGTCTTGATGAAGCAAGATCTGGCATTTTCTGGTTTGATGTTCTCTGGGAAGCTGATGACTCTGCACAGTGGCCAGAGTGCTCTGTTGAAATTTTCCCCTTGGAGTAGGCACACGTCTCCGATTTTCAGTGGCCTCGCCTTGGTTGGGTTTTGTTTGTGGGCTGTTTTCAGGTATTGCAGGTACTCTTCGTGGTATCTTCTCCAGAATGAGCTGAGGAGGCGCTGTTGATATTTCCATCTCCTAGAGAAGACGACCTTGTCGAAGTCTGCTGACCTCTTGGGTTTCGAGAGGTGTTCCGGAATTATGGTTTTCCCTTTGTAACCGAATAGTAGGTTTGCTGGGGAGAGGGCTTCGACCTCGTCAGCTCCTGAAGCTACCGCTGTGATCGGTCGGCTGTTCACCATCGCTTCTATCCCTGAGATAATGATTTCTAGGTCTCGGAAGTGTGGAATGGCCGAGCCTAATATTTTCCGAAGTGGTCTTTTCACCGTCTGAACCTGTCTTTCGAGGATTGCGCCGAACCATGGGGCCGCCGCTGTTTGGAAGCGCCATTCGATGAATGAATTGGCTAACCAACGTTTGATTTCCCCATCCTTGATGTGTTCGTAGATTAGTTTCAGTTCCCTTGCGGCTCTCTGGAAGGAGAGGCCGTTGTCTGAAGTGATGGTTTGGACGGCGGGGAATCTGTTGATTTTTTGTAGCGCCCCTAGGACTTCGACGGTAGATAGATCTGATGTCAGCTCGAGATGGATTGCCCGGCTGACCGCGCAGGTCATGAGAAGGATGTAGCTTTTCCCGACCTCGCCAGAATCCTTCTTGTATCTGATTGGGCCCATGAAGTCGCATCCCGTGTGGTAGAATGGGGGTGCTTCTTCGAGTCTGAAGGGGGGTAGCGGGGGTGAAGGAAGATTTGCAGCCTCGCTGTGGAAGATTCTACATCTTGCGCAGGTCTTGAGAACCTGCCGCGCGATTTTCCTAGCATGGATCAATAGGAAGTCTTCGCGTAGTAGCTGTAGGATCATGTTCATTCCCCCGAAATGGTAGCATCTGCGTTCATGAATGTCCTGGACTATGAGTCTGGATAGATTACAATTGCCTGGCAGGATGATTGGGAATTCCTGATCGCCTGACAAATGTGGAGAACGCTCTAGGCGTGATTTGCAGCGTATGATGCCGCTTTCGTCGATGAAGGGGTTATATTGATAGATGGGACTGTCGCGTTTGATTGATTTGCAGCTGCTCTCGAATTCCTCCTTGAAATATGACTTCTGGATCAGTTGGATGAGTGAGAGCCTAGCTGAGATCAATTCGCTTGAGTTGAAGGAGATGTCTCTGCTCTGTGGAGGCGACGCTCGAAATGAGATCCCTTGGGAAACTCGATCTCTCGCTCCTTGAGCCTTCCGAATCAACCGTTGCATCAGAGCCCAGAAGCGGACTGCTTTGATCCATGAAGAGAATTTTTCCTCGAAAAATATTCGCTGAGTGTCTTTCGGCCTGGCCGAAGAGAGCATGCATGCGATGTTTTGTCTGCGTTCCGGATCGAACCGCTTCTCCTCCATGTCTTTGGAGATGTCATTTGGAGGGAGAGCGGTATCGAGACGCGCTGAGCTACTCAGCCAACGTGGTCCGGACAGCCACAATGTTTTGTTGTGGCCTGCCGAAATGTTCGCGCCACGTGAGATGAGGTCGGCCGGATTGTCCAGCGTATTCACGTACCGCCATTCGGTTTGGCCGATTAGAGAATGGATACGGCGGATCCTGTTTGCGACGTAAGGTTTCCATTTTTCTGGTTTAGATTTCACCCAGTGATGGGCTAAAGTAGCTACCCAGAAAAATTCTAATGACCATGAGTTGACTCACGGTGTCCAGACCGGATGCTAGAACAATGACTTCAGTATTCTGTAACTTAGTGTAAGTTCAGTGACCGTCATAATTGCTGTGGACGGGTTACTGACTTGCCCCTTTCCTTCCAGCACTATATAAGGCATAATAAAGCTCAGTACTAGTGGGGGAGCCTTTGGTATTTCACACCAAGCAGTGTTCGTCTTTATTAGCCGTTGTCCCAGTTGTGTCTAGCACAGCATCGATTCGAGCTCACCGCAGCCAGAGCTAGTAGGCTAGATAGCCGAGAAAACCTATCAACGTTATCAGCACGAGTTCGCTCGGAGCAAGTTTCGATATTGTGCTGCATCGCAGTGAGTGTTAGTGCACAAACCTCAACTGCAAGATGCCATCAGCAACATCATCAACTCGGGATACCCGTAGGTCCCACGGCTACAGAGCGAACGTATCCGAAAGTGAGCTACTGCAAGATGATAATCCAAGTTCGACCAGCGGTGGATCCAGACCACGGGCGTTCAGCAACATCATCCTGGAAACCAGTGGTAAAAACTACATACCGTGGAAGACAGTTATGCCGGCTGTCATTGGAGCTGAACCGTACGCCTGGGAAGTGGTACTCGGTACCCTGAATCCACCAGCCGAAGACAAGGCTAACACCAAAGAAGGTCGACAACAACAGAAAAACTTCGAACGCCGGGAACAGAGCTGCGAAGTATATCCTGATGAACTCCATTCATCCGAATTTGGCAACTATACTATTCCTTGATGATCCGGAAGAAGTGGAAGCTCATGAAATTTGGAGGAGAATCAAAGCAAAATTCACCTCATCATCGGGTACGAAGAAATCACTTGCAATTTCACGATTCTCAAGATTCAAATTCACCCCCGGGCTATCCATTGAGGAAAACATTCTTGCATTCAAAAGAATCATGTATCAGCTAAATCAAGCGGGAGTTGAAGTGACGGAGGACATCCAGTGTGACAAAATTCTGGAAGCTCTTCCAAGCAGCTGGGACTCGTTCAGACGAGCGTGGAGTGCGAGGATGGATACGAAAGTGACAGCGGACGCATTGTTGGATCTCA